ACATTTATTGATTTCTTAGCTTATCCTGAAGGTCTCACAGGACTATATAATAAATATAAAAGTAAATATTAGACATTTAACAATGAAGACCACCATGGATTTACCCCACACACCCAAAGGGATTAAACCACTGAACTACATCCCCAGCCCCCCCCTTTTTTGCAGGGTGTACTGGGGAATGAACTCAGGGGCACTCAACCACTGATCTACATTCCCAGCCCTATTTTGTATTTTATTTAGACACAGGGTCTCACTGAGTTGCTGATGTTGGCTTTGATCTTGTGATTCTGTCTCAGCCTCCCCAGCAGCTGGGATTACAGGCGTGCACCATTGTGCCTAGCCTTACCCCCCTTATAAAAAATTTGGGACATGTTCTCACTAAGTTGCTTTGGGCCTTGCTAAGTTGCTGAGGCTGACCTTGATTTTGTGATTCTCCTGCCTCAGCCTCCCAAGTTGCTGGATTACAGGTGTACACAACAATGTCCAGCCCACAGCTTCCTTTGAAGTAAGGAGATGAATAGATGTGTCTTACACCTGTGGAAGAACCCCTCAGCTATGGAATCCAGGTACTTGCTTACACACACTTGTAATACCAGCTACTTGGTAGGCTGAAGAACGAGGATTCCAAGTTTAAGGCCAGCCTAGGCAATTTAGCAAGACGGTGTCTTAAAATAAAAAATAAAAAGGGTTAAAATATAGCTCAGAGGCAGAGTGCTCTGGGTTTGATTCACAGTACCATAAAAAAAAAATCTAGCACGTCAATGTGCATTTTTTCGCTCATGTGCTCTCTCTCTTTCTGTTGTGCTGAGGATGGAATATGGGGTCGTGCTAGGCAAGCATTGTGCCACTTATTTATAGCCCTTGTCCTAAAATTCTCCCAGCTTTTTAAATGTTTTGTTTGGTTTGAGACCTGGTCTCAGTAATTGGCTCAGGCTGGCCTCTAAGTTCTGGGCTCAGGTGATCCTCTTTTACCAGCTTCCTTAGTCGCTGGGACTATAGGCATGCCACCACCCTAACTGGCTGCTTTTCTATGGTTAAAAACATTTATAAAGTACTATTCATGAATGTTGGAGGGGGTGTGCCCACAGGTACTAGGCTGCTTATGATCAGCTGTAATTCTGACTTCATTACATCTTTAGAAAATCTGTGCAGGGTGGTCATTCAGACCACTCTCACTCCTGTTCTGTGCCTGAGAGCAACTGGTGTCCCAGAGGAATGCCCAGGAAGCGGGCCTTGCCATGAAGGGAGGAGGCAGCTCCTAACCAGAAATGTTCATGGAAAGGAGGATATTGAAACTGAGTCCTGAAAAAAGAACAGAAATGGTCCAAAACAGACACAGGTGGGTGGGTGGAGGCAGATGATTCTGGCAGAGGGAGCAACATCACAGAAGCACAGAGGCTGGGAAAGCAACACTGCCACTGGGTTTGGGAGAGTTGGGGCTTCAGAACTAGCCCACTGGACTGTGGTTGGGGTTTGCAGGTAGGGTGGGAGTAGGGTTCCCCACAGTTCCCCAAGGATCTTTAAGTTACTAAGGTCAAAAGGCTTTCTGTTCCCTTGATTCCTGCCACCTGTGCCTCTTCCCGGCAGTCATGCAGCCCAAATTTCCCCAAGAGGCATAATTAGCAACAGGCTGAGATTTTAGGGTCCAGATGCAGGGTGGGGGTGGAATGGGAATGAGTGGGGAGGAAGCTGGACTTCACCCACATTTGGTCATCCCACCTGCCCATGGTATAACTCCTCCCAAGCTGCAGAAAAGTAAACCCAGGGACCAAGGTAATGTCATTGTCTTTATGGCTAGATACTTCCAAATTTTCACTTGTAACTCATAAGGGGACACTGCCTAGATACCTCTCATGCTGAGCCTCAGTTTCTGCATCTGTAAAAAGGGGTCGAAATGCTTATCCAGTGATAGGATCTGGAGACCTGCTGAGACCACGGGAAGAGGATGTGCAGGCTGAAGTCCTGATAGAAGAGGTGATTATGTGGGATGCTAGAGGCAAACTGCCAATCTAAATATCACCGTCCAGCAGTGCCTTTGTCAGCCTGCACCCTGAACTTTCTGGTAGGTGAAATTGGCCTTACAGGCTCTCAGTGCTATGGTCTCTGCCATCTCTATGGCCACAGCATGGAGTACCAGCACCCATGGCCGCCCTGGAAAGATATGTCATTTTTTTTTTGTAGGTGGATATGATTATCTTTTTAAAAAAATTGTTTTTATGTGATGCTGAAGATCATACCCAGTGCCTCACATGTGCTAGGCAAGTACTCTGCCACTAAGCCATAACCCCAGTCTAGATGTGTCTTTTTTTTTTTTTTTTTTTTGATGCTGGGGATTGAACCCAGGGCTTTGTGCATGAGAGGGAAGTACTCTACCAACTGAGCTATATCCACAGCTCCCTGGATGTGTCTTTTTGAAACTACTAATCTCATGGTTAGCCTCTGGTGTGAAGCATCAGAGGTGGGCCCAACATTCTCCTGTTGGACTCAGACCTCCATGGCCATGCTAATATGGCCCCCAGTGCTCCCCTCAAAGCCACCATTAGGGGTCCATGGAGTGATTGGGCCCTCCCGCTGTAAGACATGTGCATAGATCTCATTCCTTTCTGTATATGTGGAGGGGTAACTGCCCCCCCCCCACCAAAAAACTATGTGCACAACTGGGCTCCTTAAAGACAGATACAATGGTGTAATGTGAATGGATTTATTTCCTAGGGCTGCTGTAATAAAACTCCACAAACAACAGACATTCATTGTCTCTTAGCTTTGGAAACTAGAGATCCAGGACAAGGTGGCAGCTGGGTTACACTCCCTTTGAAGGCTATAGGGAAGCTCTGATCCAGGCCTCTCTCCCAGCTTCTGGTACATCCTTGGCTGCTATAGCAGACTCCAGTCTTAACACAGAACACTATTCTGTGTGTGAGCCTGTGCCCAAGTTCTGTTTTATTATAAGCACTACAGTCACTCTGGATTAGAGCCCAGTCTAATGAACCCATCTTTTCTTCTTTTTGTGATGCTAGGATTGAACTCAGAGCCTCATGCATGCTGGGCAAGTATTTTACCACTGAACTACACCCCAGTTCTTTTTATTTTAAACAGAGTCTCACTAAATTGCTCAGGCTGTCCTTGAACTTAAGATACCCATGCCTCAGTGTCCTAAATTACTGGGATTACAAGTGTGAGCCTTCCCATTTTATCTTGATTATTTCTGGGAAGACCCCCCCCCAATACAGTTGCATTCTGAGGTTAAATCTTAGAGATTAAGATTTCAATGTATAAAATTGTGATGATGGTGGGTGGGGGAGTGGTCGCTATGCTATAACACAAGTATATCATTGTAGCCATTAGAAAATAGAAATTTTAGGATGGGTGCAGTGACGAATCCCTGTAATTCTAGCGCTTCAGGAGGTTGAGGCAGGAGGATCGAAAGTTCAAAGCCAGCCTCAGCAAGAGCGAGACACCATGCAACTGAGACCCTGTCTCTAAATAAAATTCAAAAAAATGCTGGGGATATGGCTCAGTGGTTGAGTGCCCCTGAGTTCAAACCTCTCCCCGACCAATCAATCAATCAATCAATAAAAAAGAATACAGATTTTAGCTGGATACAGAGGCATACATATGTAATCCCAGTGGTTTAGGAGGCTGAGTCAGAAGGATGCATGTTTGAGGCCCACCTTGGCAACTTAAGGAGACCCTGTCTCAAAGTAAAAAATAAAAAGAGCTGAGGATGTAGCTCAGAGGTTGAACATTCCTGAGTTCAATCCCTAACACGAAAAACAGCTACACAAAATAAAATTTTAGCCAGACTTTGTGGTATATGCCTATAATCCCTTGCTATCTGGGAGGTTGAGTTAGGAGGATTGCAAATTGTGAGTAATTTAAGGAGACTGTCTCAAAAAGAGTTTGGGTGTAGGCAAGAGAGAAAGAAAGGAAGACATCATGTGCTTAGTGAGATACAGAATTTCCCTGACCTGATACAGCCTCCACCCTACCTTTGACTTCAAAGGGATTGATTCCAATTTAAGAGATTGCAAGATTAACCCATGTAAAGCCATACTTACCCCACACAAGTCAGCTGGTTGCTGCATTGTGTCACATTCATATGGGTACCATAGTAACTAGTAATTCTTTGCTAATAACCTGAACATCTAGTAATTCTTTGCCATGTAACAGACTTCTTGCTGAAAATAAAACAATCCCCATAGGTTAGTTGTTTAAACAAGAGCCATATTATTCATAATTGAAAATGACCAAATAAAGGCAGATTTTAAAAATTATAGTCTCACAATGAAATAGTTTCTTTCTCTTGTTTGTTTCTAGATCTTGCCCAGAAATCTTATAATCTTTATTTTAAAATAAATGTTAATAATATATTCTACTTTTTTTTTTACCCTTTATTTTATTTTTATGTGGTGCTGAGGATTGAATCCAATGCCTCGCACGTGCTAGGTGAGCGCTCTACCGCTGAGCCACAACCCCAATCCATATTCTGCTTTTCACTAGATATCATCATAGCCCTATGTATGCCATGTAATATTCAAATGAATCATTTTAAATCACAGTTGTTTCCTTTTTGATGGTGACTGTAATCACTTCAATGAACCATTAAGTGCATAGAGGGTTTTTAACATTTTTTTTTCTTTCTGGGATAAATTCTCAGGAGTGGAATCGTTGGGTTAAAAGACAGCGAACTTATTTATGGATCCTGAGATACATTTGCAGTCTTTTCCACAGGAGATTAATCAGTTGGCAGGTTTCATTTGCAATGTTGGGAAACCAAATCTTGTTTCAAATTTCCGGGGCTAAAGGAGATTAGGTATTAGTCTTTTGTTAACCTTACATTAGTATTTTATTAACTTTTTATTGATTGGATTGTTGTTTTGGATAATATTTTTATAGACGATGAAACAAGTGTGATCCTGCTTCACCTCTTGGTGATGCTGAGCTCGGGCACCCCCTGCTGCCCATTGTGACGCTGGCTGCAGGGCGGGTCCCCTAGGACGCTGGAGTCGAGGCAGAGCTGGGGGAGCCATGGCCGAGCCGCAGGAGCAGTTACTGCAGCTCCAGAAGGATAATCGAGATGGCCGCATGCGGAAGCAGGAGCTGGAGGAGTTGGTGCGCGGTCTCGAGGCCGAGAGCGAGAGCCTCACCGGGCGCCTACAGGAACTGCGCGAGCGCGAGCGCAGGTGCCCTGAGAGGGCTGCTTAAGCCGGCGGGCGGGCCCCTCCTGAGAGGCGGCGCGTTTCAAGAGTGGCTGATTTGCCCAGTCCGGCACCTCCGCTCCAGTCGTCGGGCGGGGTTATTCACCCAGGGAGCGCGAAGGGAGGTTGAAGTCTGGCATGCCAGGGACTGGGCGAGGACTTCTTTGACCTTGACCTTCAGCTGGTCACTTCTCCGTACGGTGGGGGCCGCAGAATCCTGAGCTCCCCAACCCCCCGCCGAAGCACCTGCCTCAGTTTCTCTCTGCAGTCTGCAACGGAGGCGGAGCCAGGCGGCTGGGGCTCTACGAGGGGAAGCGCGCGAGGCGGCGCGAGAGCGTGCGGAGAGGACGCGTGAACTGCTGGAGGCGGCGGAGCAGCACAAATTGGACCTGGTTGGAGGGGTGCCCCAAGGAGCGGAGCCGGAGGGCTGGGGGCCAGGATGAGGCGGGGCTAAAGGAAAAACCTGGACCGCCCCCTCAACCCTTTTCACAGGAGCAACACAATCAACAGTTGCAGGAGCAGTGGGAGGAACTGTCAAGTCAGGTATGTGCAGGGAATGGGTTGGCCTCCAGTCTTGGTTCTACTCGAATGTCCCGCTCTGGTACCTGCCGCTGTTGCCTCCCAGTCTCTGCCCCCACAAAGTACCCCCGCCTCAAGAGGCCCCGTAAATCCCGCCCTCACAAGCCCCGTCCCCAGCTCTTTTACTACGGTGGGGAACAACGGAATCAGCAGCGCGCGGAGCAGCAGCAACTCGGGACGCAACTGTTGGCACTGCAGGTACTTGGACTGAACCCCTAGCGCCGGACAGGGGCGGAGCGGAAACGTGGGCGGGGCCGTAGTGGAGCGAGGGGCGGACCCTGAGGCCCAGAGTGGGTCTTGAGGCACTGCGGGTGCAAGGTTTGCCCCGACATCTGACAGCTCTTGAATGCTTCCAAAGAAACAGCTGGAAGTGGTGGAGGCCAAGTACGCCATGCAGGCGGAGGACTTACGGCAGGTGTGAGAGGAGCCCGCAATTTGGTGGGAGGGTCAGCTTTAGGTGTCCATAGAGCCTGGGCCTGTTCGGAAGGGTGGGAGGGGTGGTGTGTCCTTTCGAGTCTAATTAAGGCTGTTGTACCCTAGGGTGCGCAGCGGACCGAGGAGGCCTGGGCCAGCTTCCAGGAGCAGAGTGGAGTCCTTCAGGTGCGGCTCCCTCGGCTCTGAGAGCCAGTCACCTCTGACTCTACTGCGGCCTCCAACCCACCTTTCCCAGACCTGGGGCAGCCAGCACCAGGAGGCCTCCTCCCCCAGCCCTGAATCCTCACTCCCATCCCCTCCAGGAGCTGCAGGGGAAGGTGATGGAGGCGGCGGCTGCGCTGGACACCTCGCGGGGCGGCCCAGAACCGTAAGGGAGTTAGTATGGTTAAGTGAGTAGGGGCGGTTGTGGCGCTAGAACAGATTGCCTATCTCTGTGCCTCTCATCCGCAGGTGGGACTCTCAGCTTCGCCGGGTGCAGGACTGCTCTGGCTCGCTGATGGAGGAGGTGGCCAGGGCCGATTGTGTGAGCGTGGGCCCGGGCTGGTGGGCTGGAGCTGGGACACTCCCGCTACCCCCCGTCCCTCCGGGAGAGATCTGGCTAGCGCAGTGCCCCTAATCCTGCATTGAGGGACACGGCTCCCTTTTCCTTCAGGAGAAGCGGCTGTTGGGCGGCACAGGGGCCGGAGGCATCAGGTGAGCCCGGTGCCTACGTGAGGGAAGTGGGTTCTCCTTTTGAGTTCCCTCTCCAGCCACCACTCATCTGTCCATTTGTCGGTCTGCAGGCTGTGGGCGCTAGGTGCGCTGCAGATGTTGCTGTTGCTCCCGCTTGGCTTCCTGGCACTGCCGTTGCTCTATGTGTTGCTGGTGAAGCAGGACTCCATCCACCAGGGCCTCCCGCACCTCAGCTCAGATGCTGCCTTTCGCCGCCTGCGCTACACGCTGTCCCCACTACTGGAGTTGCGCGCGCGCGGGCTGCTGCCTGCTTAGAGCCATCACGCTGGCCGTGGCCGCCTGCACCTTAGTGTCTCGTGTGGTTTCTGGGGCGCCTGAGGGGAGATACCCGGGGCATGAGGCTCGTCTCCCCCCCCACCCACTAGCGACCCACCCTGGCACTTCAGAGTTGATAACGGTTCTACCAGGAGGGCCTGCGTCCAGGAAGGAGCTCCGGGTCCCAGGCCTTGGGTTGGCCTTCTCCACAGCCTCGGTTGCTGCACTCACTAGCCAAGTCCGAAGTTGGTCTGCAATTTATTAGTGAATTTGCCTGGGCCTAAGGGATTAGGAGGAGGCGCTGGTAGGTCAGATTTTTTTTTTTTTTTTTTTTATGGAGGTCTGTGATTCCTTTGGATCCACTGCTAGTAGTTATTTAGGTCCCCATAGCATCCTTTGGTTCTCTCTGGGTAGGATCCCCATCCTGGTGGCCATTAAGTGTTCCTTCCTGTGGCAGCTTTGCTTTCTTTGCCCTGGGCATAGCTACTAGTGCGTTCTCAGACTGCCGGCTTCCTGTGGAATTTTTTTTTTATTTGTGAGAAATTATTAGTGGAAATAAGCCATTTCTATTTTGTCTGAGTATTGTTATTTTAGCAGTGAAATTGTTTAATGTAACTCCTGTACACATATACTTTCTTGCAATAACTTTTAAAAATATTTTCTTGTTGGGCACAGTGGCGCTTGCCTGTAGTCCCAATGGCTCTGAAGACTGAGGTAGGATTGCAAATTCAAAGCCAGCTTCAGCAAAAGTGAGGTGCTAAGCAACTCAGTGAGACCCTATCTCTAAATAAAATACAAAATAGGGCTGGGGATGTGGCTCAGTGGTCAAGTACCCATGAGTTCAATCCCTAGTACAAAAAAAAAAGGTTTTTTTATTAATTTGTAGGTATTCTGAAGGCTTTGTTGTTAAATTTGTTGATGGAACCCTATGTTCCAAATTTAAGAATTGTGCTTTGAGTTCTAAGTAACCATTCTTGTCTGGAAATCATAAAGACATTCTCATATTTTCTTCTTTTGTGGGGGGGCGGGCAGGGTGTTGTTCTGTTGCCAGGCTGGCCTTGAACTATTGGGTGCTTGATCCGCCCTCTTCAGTCTCTGGAGTAGCAGTGACTACAGGTCTGGAGCCACCACACCCTGACTTCTTCTAAATTATTATTTTTTTTAATTGTAGATGAGAACGATACCTTTGTTTTTCTTTTTAATGTGGTGCTGAGGATTGAACCCAGTGCCTCATACTTGCCAGACAAGTGCTTTAACACTGAGCCACAACCCCAGCCCCTCTTCTAAATATTTTAATGATGTGCTCAGACTGGGATGTTTAAAGTGATTATTGATATAGGTGCATTTATGAGATATTATATTTTTTACTGTTCTTATTTTTTAAAATTTATTTAATTAGGTATATATGACAGCAGAATGTATTCTGATTCATTGTATACAATTGCAGCACAACTTTTCATTTCTCTGATTGTACACCATATAGGGTGGCACCATATGTGTAGTCATACATGTACCTAGGGTCCATCTCATTCCATCATCTTTCTTGCCCTCATGCCCCCCCTTCACTCCTCCCTCCCTTTTGCCAAAGTTCCTCCATTTTTCCCATCCCCCCCATTACGGATCAGCATCCACTTATCAGACAGAACATTCAGCCTTTGGATTTGGGGATTGGTTTACTTTGCTTAGCATGATATTCTGGAACTCCATTTATTTACCTGCAAATGCCATAATTTTATTTTCTTTTAATGCAAAGTAATATTTTATTGTATATAT